GTAGGCGTTGAGATGGGAGAGACTGGACATGATGGACTCCTCCCCAAAGCAGAAAGGTCGCGCTTCCCTTAAGACATCAAGCCGAGACCTTTCTTGGTCCCTGTGAGATGTTTCTCTTTTATTCTGAGACTGGGATAGAGAAGACGGAAGGTGTGTTTTGCAAGCTAGAGCTCATAATCTCAAACACCATCCTCGCCTTCCACCACCACAACCAGCATTTCTTATTTAGCACCTCTTACCCAAGGTGAGAATCTAGACATTGTTAGCATCCTGTCCTGCCTTCCAACCTTCCTTGTCAGTCACAGGCTGAGTGCTCTCAGAGGCTGCTCAGAACTTCTGGAGAAGCAGCAAACGCCTCTTGCTCCTGCTGGAGCCTCTGCCTGCAGATTCTGCAGCCCCTGGTGTCTGGGAATGACACGGGTGGCTCGTTAGCAGCCAGATGTGTCCTTGGGGTGGCTTTTGTGACGAGTGGCGATGCATCATCCACACGCATTCCCCGAAGGACCCTGACCGACCTCGTGTGCTTTTGTGAGAGGACCGTCTGGGGTCACAGGTGGTGTTTGTGGTCATGGAAAAAGGAAAGCTAATTGGCATGTGTTTTGAAATGAACCTGGGATGCCCGGAAATAGAACCAGTGTCCTTCTGCTGGGGAATTTCTGCCACCACCAAAGTGAGCCGGAGGGGTGGGGGTAGATCTCAGTGGCAGAGCACGTGCTTAGCCTGCACGAGGTCCTGGGTTCAATCCCCAGCACCTCCATTAAAATAAATAAATAATTATATGGAGATGGATATATTTTTTTAAAAAAAGAAAGAAAGAAAGAAAGTGCCAGAGTGGAGGTAATTTCTTCTCTAGATGGGCTGCTTCGGGCTTTCTCTTTCCCGCCTCCTGTGTCCCCTTCCAGTCCCCCGGAACTGGCAGCTTCAGCAGGCTGGGTAGAGCACAGACCTGATTTTACCATAAGGCAAAGGAACATTCCAGTCCAAGCCGTGTGTAGGGGGGCAGGTGATGGCAGCCCAAAGTCACCTGTCAGAACTCGGCCTCGTGGATTGCTCCTGCTCTTCCGTTTGCCTCTGCGATTCCAGCTTATCCTGCCTTAGCGTTCCTCTGGTCAGGACGGACTCTCCTCCTTGCCTCCTTCATCACGGAGGTGGCGGTGTGGTCTTTGCTGGTTTCCACATGCAGTCACCCCTCCCCACCCCGACCAGGAGGCCCCTCCTTCCCCCCAGCCTTCCCAGACCTTCTTCCACTTCTGCTAATAGCCTGGGTGGTGCCCGAGAGCGGCCCCTCTAATGACCAAGCCTTTTCCTATCTGTTCTAAACCTCCTCTTTTTTTGCAGGAAGAACTTCTCCCCCGTGGCTGCTCAGGTTTTTCTGTGACTTGCCTCTGGTTATTAAATCTGCCTCTTTCTAATTTCCTCTGTAACACTCCTACCAACATGAAATCACTCTGCCTTCTAGAATTCTTTCTGTCTTGTTTTCTTTCTTTTTTTTTTTAATAGCTTGTATTAGCTTAGACTGGTTAAGCTGCCAAACACAAATAAAACAAAACAAAATCCTCTCCGAGCCCCAAAATAACTTGCTTAAACAAAATACAGGTTTATGTTTCTCTTACTTTCATAGAGCCTGAAGGTGACCATCAGACTGGTCTCTAGGTCATGACAGCTTCTATCTGGTTTCTCTCCCCAGTGCGGCTTCCATTCCCCAGGTCAGCTCATGGACCAGGGTGGCTGCTAGAGCCCCAGCCATTATATGCATGTTCCAGCCAGCGAAAGGAAAGGAGAGAAGGGCAAGAGAGGCATTCCTTCTTTTTAAGGACATTCCTAGGCGTTTTACATCTTACTTCCACTCAGCTATCACTCACTGGAGTTTTGTCACAGGAGACATGACCAATCTAGCTGCAAGGGAAGCTGGAAAGTGTCTTTCCTCCCAGTGACCATGAACGTAACTAGAAATCAATATTCTGTGTCCCTGGAGAAGGACGCACTGGAAGAAACCAGCAGGTCATTCTTTTCCTTCATCTTTATACCAAAACTCTCTTTCCTAGCTGTGCCCTCTCCTCGGTTGCTTACAGGAGAGGAACACATGCTCCATCGTATCTCTTATC